GTGTGACCCATTTTCCCCACAGAATTTGCATTCGCCATTGTTTCTTAGCCTCAATTTACTGATGTGTTTATTGAGGAGACAGTGTTCTGTTAAAAATCCCGTAACAATCCGAAGATTGTTCTTACTTAAATCAAAGAAAATGTTTGATTTTTCTTGGTCGTAAGTCCTGAGAAATTTCTTCGAGTGTCTTAGACCGTTGGATGATTTTCATTCCACTTTACGAATGAAGTCTTCCAGGTTCTTGAGTTCTGCTTTAAGTTGGTTTCTATTTATTGGATTGGTAAGAATATGAAATTTGTTTGGGGTTATACACAGAGATGTTCAATGAAAGAACTGTTAGGCATTCGTAAAATCTACATCTGTACTATTGAAAAACATAGCTGCTCACTGATATTTTAAAAACGAACTTGAAGCAATACAAACAGATTTAAAATACCTTTTTAATTTTTTTTGATAATTCGCATTGATGAGATTGACGATTCAAATTCTGTCACATGTGAGTAAATGATAATTATTCGCTAATATTAGAATTATAGCAAAAATACTTTAGGTTAGATAAATATTTGAGAAAAAGACATTTAACAGAAAGTACATGTTATTTCTACACTCCTTTGGTGTTAAATCGGTTGCAAATCGATTTAAGTATTTTCTACTGATGTTTTCTCTTTTATTAATATATTTTTAACGATTTATTTAACTAATATAATAGGTATTGTAATACAGATTTAATGTATAACTAAATACCTCCGGTTTCCTCATATTTGAACTTAGGTGGGATAATTATATTTCCTGTCACTGGTATATAATTAGTACATGTTTTTAAGTTAAGAAATAATGTGGCTTCTTTTTAGAAATTACTTGAATATTCTACTAATAAGTATAAATATTCGCTGATTATCTCAAGGTTTTCTCACGATTGCTCCATAGAGAATATAAAAAAAACAGCAGCATACAGACACTCGAATATCTAATACGATTGTTCTATGTTTTATGAATTGCGCGTTTAATTTTTAATTTTACCCATTATTCTAATTACCATTAATAGTATTGTAATTGAACTCATTATTTCAATAATAATAAGTTAACTAACAGAATAAAAACAGATAATTAGTATATGTGTATGTACGGGGTGTTTACGAATATGTAAAATAAATTATAGTGGTAAATGTCTAAATTTCCGAAAAACCGGTTTACAGTAATTTAAAGGCATATTATATACTTTGAAAGTTAGTTAATAATGGGTTTGCATAATAAGTTCAATCAAAAATTCAAAAATGAATCCCTATTTCCCCCTTGGCCATGGCATAACTTGAGTACAATTTCATTCATCTTTTTTGTTTCAGTTTTGTAATATCTGGTTATTATGGAAAGAAAAATTAAGAACATTGTGCAGAAAATTGGAACATTTTAGAAAACTTCCCGTCGATTTAAACTTCGCGCGTTTAACAGCCGAAGCATAAATATCATAGATAAAAGAAGTTTAGATTGGAAACTGCCCATAAAAACAATGTAAATATTAATTGGCGCCATTCTTACTGCGGTCGCTTTCCAAAGCTTTTGATAATTTCGGAGCGATTCGGCTATTTCCGCAATTATTCTTGTTTGCGGTTATTCTTGGCAACCTCTATAGCAGCTCCCTACAACGGATGCACCCCAAAACAATATAAGTTCTGACTGACCTAATAAACTGAGAAAATAAGTATCAAATTCAGTGAGCGTAACCATAGTTTCTTGATATACAGGGTGCTACAAATTCGAGGTACGAGCATTGGCATCTCGGAAACCGTAATAGATACGAATATGGTTAAATTGTGGAAAAGTTGCTCCTTGGCATGTTCACCAAGATTCCATCAACATTTTTTTAAAAATTTCAAGGATTGGTGAGTTTTTTGAAAAACAAACGGATTTTTTTGAAAATCAATTTTATTTTTTCCTGTCGTTCTTTTTTAGAAAATCAAAAGACTAATTGCACATACTCATAGCCACTTTATTAGGGTTATCTGATGGTGTTTTTAGATTTTAAATTTAGCTGATAATTTGTGAGATACAGAGACCAACTTAATTTTTCTCTATTGAGTACAATGATATGCCACACTTGATACTTTTATTTTTATTTTGGGTACCTTAACAGTAACAAAACTATTTAACTGTTATTTAAAATAATTCGAAGTCCAATTCTGGTTTTTTGATTTATTTTATCTGATTATATTCAGCACAATAATATTGATTAGCGCTAATTAACATTGACTAAGGAAAATCACGCCAATTGAAAGATTCAAATATATAATTTGCAATTTAAAGATATCCATTATTTTTAACTTTTTTTATTGTAAATTTGAAACTTCAGTGTACGATCTAATAATATGCATAATATTAATAGTAGTTATTATAAAATAATAATAATAGCTCCCGTATATAGCGTGTAACGCCTTGGGAGTAGCAAGGTACAGCTTGCTATACTAGAGCCGTTCGGTATACAAGGAAGGTAATGTGGCTAGCACTACGCTTCAACCGCCTATTATTACCTCAGGATCGTGAATCCCAAGTACTCATTTAAAAGGTTGAAGTCGACCTAGGTACCCAAACTATTTTTATTTTAATAAAAATAGTCGGCTGATGAAATGCCGGGTGTGGGAATCGAACCTACACCTTGAGATTGGTAGACGAGAGCCTGTACCTCTACGCCACCGGGCCACCTATTATAAAATACCATAAATAATTACTATAAATAAATCAACTTCTACAAACTAGTTTCTAATGCTCTATATGTTCGAAAGGGTTGCCACCCCCCCATAATGCACACATTTGTTTTTCGTTCAGTCTTATTTATAGCTCTTTGAACAGATCTTCTTATACTTCCGAATGCATTTGTACTCGTTAATTGTTTTTGTACTCTTATTGTTGAAATATGTCTTGATTTCAAATGTCCAAAACAATTTTTATTGATTTTCCTTATTCAATGTTAATTAGCGCTGTTCAATATTGTCGTAATAAATATAATCAGATTAAATAAATTAAAAAACCAGAGCTGGATTTGAAATTATTTTAAATAATAATTAAAAAAATAGTTTTTTATTGATTATACTTATAATTAAATAATTTTGTTATTGTTAAGGTATCCCAAAAAAAAGTATCAAGTGTGGCATATCATTTGAACTCAGGAGACCGAGTTCTTTCAAAACCTAAAATAAAAAATGCAGGTCCGTATTTAAAAAAATAAGTTGGCCTCTGTATCTCACAAATTATCAGCTAATTTGAAAATCTAAAAATATACCATCTGATAGCTTTAATAAAAGTGGCTATGAGAATGTGCAATTAGTTTTTTGATTTTCTAAAAAGTAACGACAGGAAAAAATAAAATTGATTTTCAAAAAAATCCGTTTTTTCCAAAAAACTCAGCAATCCCTGAAATTTTTAAAACTTTTTTGAAAGCATCTTGATGAACATCCTAAAGCGCAATTTTACCCCATTTTAACCATGTTCGTATCTATTATGGTTACCGAGATACCAATGCTCGTACCTCGAATTTGTAGCACTCTGTATAATTACTTACTTTTAAATATTTTTATATTATTTGAAACGTTTGAAATTATTTAAAAACTTGTTTGTGGCGTTTGAAAAAAATAGCATGTTCTATTTGGAGTAAGAATTACTTTTTGTGTCTCCGCTGTATGTCGTCGTATTTTCTAAGTATCACTTATACTCCTAATAAAACAATATACTATTATTTCATACAATTCTTGATATACAGAGTGGCCCGAACTGTATTCCGGAAACTTCGGCAGCATATTCTGCAGATAAAAATAAGTAAAAATGTTCGTATAGATGTATGTCCAAAAATGCTTAGTTTCGGAGATACAGGGTGTAGAAGTTTCATTTTTATTTCGATTTTTTCCAAATAATTTCTGCAGTAACGTCAATATTTGCATTAAAATTGGTGTCTGGAAGTTTTGTGACATGAAAAATTTGATTTTGATGTCAATATGACTCCTACTAGTAGAGGGCGCCACCTACATATTTTTTAACTGGTTTTAAGAGTAATAACTTTTCGTCCATAGCTGTATAAACTTACTAAGTAAAAAAATATACATTTACGACGCTTTTTACGTAAAAATACTCTCTTGGTAAAAATCGCTACGAGTAATGGTTTTCGAGATATTTGGAATCGAAATTCAACATCTGTCATCACTGACATAAATTAAACATGTTGACTAAATATATAGTTATTAGACTGAGATCATAAATTTGAAATGTTTTTGTACCAAAAGTTCAACAAAAACTGTTTTATCATCATTTTTTTAGCAGAAGAAATATGATTAATTTAAAAAAATAAAGATTTCCCAAATTTATTATTTCAGTGAATCTACTCAACGTGTTTATTTTTCGTTAATAATGGTATGTATTGACTCTTTCCATTCTAAATATCTTGAGAACGGTTGCTTGTAGCGATTTTTGCAAAGAGACGATTTTTACGTAAAAAATCACAGAAATGTATATTTTTTCCCTCAGTAGTTTTATACAGGTACGGACAAAAAGTTATTACGCTTCAAAACAGTTAAAACACATGTAGATGGCGCCCTCTACCAGTAGGAGTCATATTGACATCAAAATCCAAATTTTTCATGTCAAAAAACTCCCAAACACCAATTTTCATTTAAATATTAACATTACTTCAGAAGTTATTTGGAAAAAATCGAAATAAAAATGAAATTTCTACACCCTGTATCTCCGAAACTAAGCATTTTAGGACATACATTTATACGAACTTTTTCACCTATTTTTATCTGCAGAATATGCTGCCAAAGTTTCCGGAATACAATTCGGACCACCCTGTATAACTATAGTTTTTGGAATTTTGTATAATACCTAAAGGAATTCTATACAATGTCGGATTTCAAACTCTGCCTGTAACACATACCTATACGTGATATTGTCTATCGTTTCGCTACATTCGACTCGAATCCAGCCCGTCGCGGCAGCGGCAGCAGCAGTAGCGGCCACCGCCTCCCCCGCCGTCGCGTGGGCGTCGCGCCGCTCAAAAGGACTCGGCCGCCGGCGGACGCTGCGAATCCTGATCCTGGCGTCGATTCCGCAGGATTCGCGCGTCTCGCGGCCACGTCCTCGCGTCGTTTCAATCCTATATACGTTCCGGTAGAGGGGAAACCGTAACGGCGACGGCCACGGACGGACGGACCTCCGCAACAGAGCGCCGACATCAGTTTCGAACGCGCGTCGCCGAACGACGACGACGACTACCACGACAGTTTTTTCCGACGCTCGGCGCGTTTCAGTTTCGACGGCGATCTCCGCGTTTTTTGGCGCCAATTCTTAACTTTTCGCCTTTTTGAGGTTTAGTGGGTTTTTTTGTTTTTTTTTCTGTTTTTTGGAGGAGTTGCGAGATTCTTGCTGGACTTAAAGATTGGTTTATTTTTCTTTCTCAGAGATTTCTGCGAATTTTCTGTAAGTGATCTTATGCTTTTTTAACTATATTATTAACTTTAAATAGTTAATAATACATATTATAGATTACGTTTTATATAATTTTTTAAAAATTTATTTTGTTAAATTTACTAACAAAAAAATATACAATTTTTTTATATTTTCTTCTTCAATCGCATTAGTTGATATTAGATAGGTATAATATATTTTTATTTTACACTTTTTTAATTGTTTGTAAAGGTGAATAATTTAATTTTTTTACTTTATTATTATGACATTTCATTTTATTATAAAATTTAAAATGGCTTCATAATAACTTATAATAAGTAAATATTATTATATCCCTATTATTTACTAATTACAAATTATTATGAAACAATTCTACGTTTTAAACAGTAACGAAAAATGGTCACTATTTCCTTTTAAATAGTTTATATATTATTTTTTAAAAATAATTTATTTATAAAAACTGGGGTGTTGTAAATTAATTTTTCTTATTTCTATTTTCATTCTCTATTACTGTTAAAAAATTTGTGATAATTCTTTGCAGTTTCTCTTGCTCGTTTGTCGATTCTTTTGAGAAGTTGTAGACAGAGTTTGAGTTTCTTTCTAGGACTTTGCAGTTTGGTTTACTTTTTTGTTTTTATTAGATTTTATTATAAACTGAATTATTTTTTCTTTAGTTTCTTTTCCATAATTTTTAAATACATACTAGATTTTAAATATTTTTAATAAACTTGTATTTATTTATTTTCTTTTAATTATACGGGTAATTGTATATCATCCGATTTGAGGCAATTCTTTTGAGTTAGGTTGTTAGGCAATTTTTTGCAAGTTTAATCATTATTAATTAATATTATAAGTATCAGTAATATATTAAAAAAATATTAATACATACCATATTTTTTTATTATTTTGCAAATTTATATTTAGTTAATTTGTGAAATATAATGATTAATTATGAAACAATTTTGCCTATAAATAGTAACGTAGTATGCAATATAATTTAATACTAATTTCGTTTAGAATATAATTTGAATTTTTTGTTTTATAATGTAACATTACCTAGAGATATCTGTATATTATTTTATACCTCATACTCACTATGCAGTGATGCGTCGATTTGATACCTCCATGCGCCCATGCACGCATAATGGGCATGATGCAGTTCGTCGATGCGATTCGTTAGGTCGTTTTGAAATTTGTCTATTTTATTTGTGATATTTCTTTTCATAGTGCGTTCAAAAACCTATATTCCGCCGAACCGCATTACAACCTATCGCATCGACCCATTGGAGCATCAAATCAACGCATTGACGAACCGCATCAGCGCATAGTGAGAATGGGGTTTTAAAATAAACTGAAATGTAGATTTTGAAAAATATTTTAGTTATTGACCGATACCCCTGAAAATATCGTACGTAATTTTACATATTACGGTCAGTAACATATACCTAATATAATTAATTATACATGACATACTTCTATGTCAATAAAAATATTGATTTTTAGATTTCAACTGTACTGTTTTAATATTGAGTCTAATATGATTCTCATTGATTTGATATTTTAATTCTATTGTGTTTCTTTTGATATCCAATAGATAAATACGTAACTTTAATTAGTAATCAAGCTATACCACTACTTAACAGTTTTTAGTAGACATTATAATTAAGTATAATATAGTTCTTAAAATATAAATAATTCTAAGCAAGGAATATTCTTCTAAATTAACTATATAACAATTATAATATAAAACGTTTATATATAAATATATCTTATATTTCTACCATTATAAAACTTTAACGGCAAAAAAATACTTATTAATTTAAATTGAATTAAACTTTCCGTCATCTCATTTCACAGGATTTCATCATATCATTTTTTAATTATCGCGATTAAATATCTTTTATAATTTTAATTAATCATATGCCATGTTTATAATATTTTATAACAAAGTGTTTGTTATTTAATTTGAACACAAAAAATTAATATTTTTTAATCGCTAGGTATCCATTTTTATAAAGTTTTCTTTATTTGTTTAAGAATTGAAAAAATAATATAATGATTAATAGTTTTACCCTCAAGTATACTTGCAATTATTTTAATTACCTACTTTAAAAAAAACTGCTTCATTTATACCGTATGATTTGCAAATATTATTTGTCATCAAGCACTCTTGATCATCATACTTTTTTGGTTATATGTCGGGTTACATTTACACATCATATATACAGAGCATACTACTTACTTTTAATGTAGACTTACATCTGATTGATACTTTAGGAGTTAATTATTTTCTACTACCTATAACATTAAAATAGCATGGAGTACTTATGAAATAAATTCAAACATAATCAAATCTAGAATGTCATTTTACCTAAAGAAGAAAACATTCGACCAATGTGTATATTACCAGTCATGACCTTTGTATGCGAAACCTGGACACTCTAAACGAAAGAAACTGCAGGTCGCACAACGCTCAATGGAATAAAATATGCTGGAAATAACCAAGAAAGACCGTAAAAGAATAGAATGGATAAGACACAGGTAATAGATGTCATCCACAGAATCAAATCCCTTAAGTGACAATAGGCAGGTCATCTGGCAAGAGGGACTGACAAGAGATGGACCACAAACATTATAACATGGTACCCACGAGGAATTAAAAGACCTAGACGAATATCAAACTTCAGATGGGCTCATGATATTAGGAAATTAGCAGGGATAACTTGTGCCCGCATAGCCATCAATAGACAACAATGGGTCCAACTACAACGAGAGTATCTAAACATGTGAGGAAGGCTACACCATAATTGGAAATGGTTGAATAAGTTAAAAATGATGATGATAGTAGCATTAAAATATCAAAAAATACAAAGCACATCAAGATTTCGTAAAGTATTTTATTATCTACAAGAATTTAAAGTTAAGAGTAGGATTATGCCAATAGATTTTATAGACTAGATGTATTTTTAATCTAATAAATATATTCAGTCTATTAGCTAATTAAATATTTATTTGTTAGAGGAACGAGTTTTTTAAACGAATTAGTATGCTAAATTAAGCTTTTCAGTAATTAATTTAATTTAATTATTTTAGTTAAAGGTAACTAACGGTTTTATAAATACATTCCTGTAATTCAATTAGATCTGTATTGGAAGCTCTACAATTGAAAGTAGAATTTTTCAATATTTTGAAGATACAATGAAAAATCTTTATAACAGTTGGGCAGGCTAATTTACTGATATTTTTTTTATTAAAACAGTTGACTAAATGAAGTGATGACTAGATCTAAATTATTTGTATATTATTTGCATTCTTAAGGTTGGTTGTCACTATACCTTCCGTTTCCATTCCATATCCATTTCATATTCGCTCCGTATTTTTATTGTGTTGACGCTATACGTAAGCCTCCGTTCCGTATCAGTTCCATACTTTATATTGTACAATTTATATCATTACGAAAATTTTATTTTAAAAATTTATATCTGTTGAAAAAAGCAATAGATTGAATTAAGAGGCGAAAGAATAAATAAATATCAGCAAAATTTTAACAGAGTTGGTACAAATGTAACTTGACAACGCTGTTTCCGATACGCTTCAGTTCTTCCGTCAAAAAAATGTATGGAAGGAAATGATATGGAACGGAAGGGAAACGGAACGGATAGTGTGCATTGTCCTATTCATTTACATGTTATTAATATTTTATGTAAACGGATGGCAAACGGAAGGGAGCTGATATGGAAGGTATAGTGATAATCAACCTTTATTTGTCCATATACATTTATTGTGATAGGTCATTTGGTTATCATATAACAAATCGTATCGACACTTATGTAAAAGACATTCTGTATATAAGATTTTTCAGATTTATTGATTTGAAAGTTATTAACATAAAAAATCACTTACTTCTCATTTAGAACAAGATACGATTCTAATTTATCGAATTTGTGCTATCCCTTACAAATTGAAATAGTTTTAGAAATTGGAAATAACATTTTTTGTTCGCTATCAAATTAAAGATGATTTATTTTGGGTTATCGACTTTCCATTTATCTTGTTTTTTTCTTTTCTAGATTACTAACAATCTTTGTAATATCGGAATTCTAATATCGCTATTCACCGCTTAAAGTTCATTCATTTTACGAGAAATATTTGATTAGAAATATCATCTATTTCTTAAGATTTTTAATATTTCCTGTTTTCAGCTGGATATTTTTATTCTTTTATGGAAAGAGATAAATTACAGAATGAACGTGAAACAAATAAATGTGCATTATGATATTTGTAAATAATACAAATAATAAATACATGTAATGCGTATTATGATACACTAGAACTGTAAATGTTTGTTTTTGACATTTAATAGAAAATAATGCTTGTTTAAAGAATCTAAAGTCTGTCCATGAAAATATATAATAGTGACAGTAGTCGATGGTCATTTTAATTGGCGTGTGGTGAATGGCATTTTCTGTAATTTTTTGAACGCCGTTTGTCGAAATTAGCATAAAATGCAAGACCATTACCAAGACTAGCGTTGGATCTGCAAGACCAAGACGAAGATCGAAAAGTGCAAGACTAAGACCAAAACCAAGCATGCAAGGCTCTTGCTGTCTTTTGCAAAATAATATGTGCGGTAATTGAAAAATTATCATTTTAAGTTATTACAAATAGTGTTTTCTCTACTATTGCAAACATTTAAAAAAAAGAACTGCTGATTTAACATAAAATATTGAAAAATAAAAACTTTCGGTATACATTCTAAACGTTCCTTTAGTTAACGTTTCATTAGCATTAAATTACTAAAGATACTATTTAACACAGTGTATATTAAGTGACATAAGGTACAACATGCACTAAGCGCACTAAATACTCCAAAGCAATGGGCACCAACGCCAGCATCTTTTAGGCAGAAATCTACGCTATCGAAAAATCCTTGCAATTTATCTTAGATAGGAACTATTGGAAACAAGAAATAGCCATCTGATCCGATAGCCAAGCAGCCTTGCTTTAAGACC